ACTACAACGACAAGGCAACAACGGCACCGACGACGACAACCACCGCCGCCGCCACCACTACCGCCGCTGATTATCATGGTTATTGCTGCCACGACGACGAGGACGAGGACGAGGACGAGTACTACCCCACTACCACTACTACTACCGTTACCACTGTTACCACGGCCCACGACCACCACGACCACGACCACGACCGCAACGGCGACCACCACGACCGCAACCACCACGACCATGACCACGACCACGACCACGACCACGACGACCACGACCACGACTACCACAACCATCACCGCCACAACCACGACTGCCACGACGACGGCACTACTACGACTCCTACCACTCCTACCGCCCGACCGCCAGCACCACGACACTGCGAGCAACAGTATGGGTATGTTGACCGCTTCGACTACGACTACTAGGACCCCGTCGGTGGTCGACGGCTGCCACAACAACAACCCCACCAATAACAGCACATGTAACACTCAGGTGTTGTCATTGGCCATCGTCATTTGGACGACAGTTCTCATCGCGCTGTACGTAATTCGGCCCAGCAAGGCGCGTGGTCGGAGTTTGAAAGGGACGCGTGGATAGTGAGTGCTTCGTTTTTGGGAAGTCTTGTTTTCTCCGAGGTGCTCAATACTTTTTTAAAACTGCCCGGACCCGCCCAGCTTACGCAACAATCCAGGGCCGACCCATCCCGGCAAGGATTTCAATCCGTGTGGCCACAGCTCAGACGAGGCAAGCCATCCTTCCGTGCTTTACGTTACTGTTGAAAGCCAAAGAGCAAGAAGAGGGAGGGAGCGAGAAACGACTCGAGTACAGAACTGAGCTGAACAACAGGACTTGCCCTGCAATGGCGCGGACTTCGAGCCCATTGTGACAGATCATCCCCTGGCCCTTGGCAAGGCACAGGAGTGAGCGTGTCCTGTTTGCGATTTTCCTGAAAGCCTTTGATGCAGCTGCGTGGCTTCTCACTTTTTGTTCAAGCTGCAGGGCCTAGGATGCGGCAACCCTATCTCGTAGGACCACCCCGGCACTGATCGCTTGCTCGCCGATTTAGCCATGATGCAATACAGTGTACGTCTTGATCTCTAAGATTTCCCGGCTCTGGCTCTTGGCCATGGCGTGTCGCCGAGGACTTGCAGCTCGGGTCTTAGGCAAGTAGGCATTGGGCTGTGCCAGGTGTGTTTTGAGATGTTTGAGCTGACATGTGCCATTTTGTGCCATTGGTCTCTCGGATCCCCATCAGTGACACGCCCGGAGCCGCAGGTTCCTTTGTCTGTATCACTTTGTATTGGCGACAGTGTGAGCTCTTCCGCACAGGAGGCTGATGCCCGCGTCAGGCTTAGGTGCAGATTCGGTATAGTCCGGTGCTAAGGTTCAGGTCTGGATGTTCTGTGGAAGCACAATTTGTTTTTAGATTCGAAGGTTGAATGAACAAGACGACTAAAAAGTTCTGTTTGGGCAGCGTCACTACCCCTGTCAGCGTCATGCAAAACAGCCAGTTTCACACGAGTCCGATTGCCGTTCGGCAGGTGCAAAGCTTCTGGTGCGGCGGTTTACGCCAGCAGCAGAGGCTGACAAGAACCATTCAAGTCTTGCTTGGACATGTCTGGGACGGTTTCGGTTTCTGACGTTCAAAGCAGCCTGTGCTAAAGGAGCTCCAACTTTCTTTGCCAGCATGGGTGCGCCGAGGCGGCTCCGTCGATCCCTCCGGGCAGCGAGCCGCAGGCTCTGAAGTCGCTGGGTCGTCTATACTCCTCTCCTTGCACACACACCCATCTATCTATCTATCTATCTATCCATCTATCGTGTATCTTCTGTCTACCTACCTGTCTATCTATCCCTCTGTCTGTATGTGTATATACCAGTATCTGGAGACACTTACGCATATATATATAGATATATGTACACATGCGTATATATATATATGTATACACACACATAGAGATGTATGTCTGAATGTGTGGATGATACACATATACAAGAGTCGTATGTAGATACAGTTACATAGACATGTTGTATGTATACATATACGTATACATATACATACATCTATACCTTTACATACCTATATATATATATATATATTTATTTATTTATTTACAGACAGACGTACAAACTGCAATTACTCCAGCAAACCCACCACTAAGTACAAGTAAGTGGTATTAGCATGTGTATGTAGTTGTAAGTAAGTATAAGTACGTGCAAGTAGCTGGAAGTGGTTTCAACAAGTGTAAGTAAGCGGAAGTACGTGTAAGTAGGTGCAGGTAAGCACGTGAGTGAGCGAATGAGTGAGTGTGAGTGAGTGAATATGCAAGTAAGGAACTAAGAAATAAGTATGACACTATGGACACAGTCTGTTTTCCGTCTGTACAGCTACATCATATTGAGACATGATGTCTCTCTCTCTCTCTCTCTCTCTCTCTGTCTCTCTCTGTCTGTGTTTGTCTGTCTCTCTCTCTCACTCTCTCTGTCTCTCTCAGACCCTGTCTGTCGGTGTTTTGAACTCTCACTGTCTTTCTTTCTCGCTCTCTCCGCCTCTTTGTGAGTATCTATACCGGTACTTATCCACATCTCTTCCTCTCGTCTTTCTACTTTTCACACATGTATTCGTCGATCTTCGATAACATACGTTTCTATCTCTCATGGACGGATGGATGGATGGATGGAGGGACGGACGGACGGATGATGGATGGATGGATGGATGGATGGATGGATGGATGGGTGGGTGGGTGGGTGGGTGGGTGGGTGGGTGGTTGGAGGGATGGATAGATGGACTGGCTGTTATTGCAGATCATTGTCGCAGCCTGCCGCCTGCCCCCAGATGCAGCCACGTGCCAGGGTGACAGAAAGAAGAAGGCAAAGCGGCAGAGCAGTGCAGATCAGCTCCGAGCTGAGATGAGTTGAAAGCCTGCGCTTGGGCTGTCGCTCCCAAGAGCAGGGGCTTTACCTACAATGACAAGGCTCGACAGTTTGTCCCAGGAGGATCTAGCCATAATTTTGAGTTGCCAAGGCGAGTGGAGGTTGCGCCTGCCTTCGCTCGGGTCTTCAAAGGCCCGCTGTTCTCTCCGTCGAAGATGCCAGAAGCCTTGTACTTGGCCAAGTTCAGGGTTAGCGGAGCAGGCTACATCTGCAAAGGACCTTAATGATTGTGTTGCTTTCTTTGTGTGTCCGCGTGTCGCTACAACTTCTCTGTGTGTGTCGATTTGCCTCCCTTAGGGGGTGATTCCGGTTTATCTGTGTGTGGGTGGGTGCGTGCGTGCGTGCGTGCGTGCGGGCGGGCGCGCGTGCGTGCGTGTGTGTGCGTGTGTGTGTGTGTCTCAATCCCTGTTCCAAAGGGTTTCATACAGTGTGAGTTTGCGTCAGCAGGGGGCTAGTGCTCCGTCAGGGGGTCACCGGCCAACGAAACCCCCAGGGAGGGGTGCAAACGTACCTGCCGTTGGACGTAGTCCATAGACAGCTGCGTGACAGTGACCAAAAGCTAGTAGAAGCCTTGGAAGCCATCGCAGAACTTCGCAAGATGCAGGGTGGTTGCAATCAACTTGTCTCAATCTTCATCGTGCAATTGTCCGATCGCTGAGATTTGTGAACAGGTTCAATGTTCAAGGCATGCTTTGGATTGTTCGATGTGTGACATTCCCTGAAGCTGAGTGATTCACTTGATTCCAGACAATTGATTTGCGACCTGGGGCACGTTGTGTCCAGAATAAATAAAAGTGTGTGTGTGTGCGCGGAAATCCTGGGACTTTGGGAGCTTTGGAGAGGTGGCCCCAAGCGAAGAGAGTCCGACCTGCCTGCCAGCGGCTCGGACTCCGTTGCTCCCATTGCAATTTTTATGCTGCAACAGGTGCTGCTACTGTAGTGCCATGAACGCTCTTCTCGAGGTTGTATTCGCTTTTGGTATTATCAGGGAGTCACATTCCTGCAGCCTTGTCTGTACCAATTGCTACTGCAAGCACCCTTCATTGATGCGACTGTCCATGATATGCCTGACAGGGCATTAACTCCGAAGCCCCAAGTCCCTAAACCCTAAGTCCCCACTGAGGTACTGTATCTGCGGCCTTAAATCCGGGATTCTGGATGTAGTCCTTGCGATTCACTCGTGCTTCACGGCAGAGAAGTGCCCCTAATCACGGTTGAGAAGAACGGACATTGAGCTTGCAGAAACAACTGAAATCTTGAACCTCCAAAAACTTGTCGGCAGGTCCAAGAAGACGAAGGTGTGGAGGAAGTTCCCGGCGCCGAGGAAGCCGGGACTCTCAGAGAAGTGCATCCCGCGAGTTGAGGGCTCAGGGTGCAGTCTGGGTTTGGGTTTTAGGAACTAGTGAATTCTATCAGTTTAGGCTTCAGGGTCTCGAAAGTTTCCGTCTACATGTGGGCCCTGTGGGCTTTGGGGCCAGTCGCCTTAAATTCGTTGTTGTTTGGGGTATCGCAACGGTCCGCAACTTAGAACCAATTTAGGGTTAAGGGTTGGGATTTGGCATTTAGAGTGTCAGTCGAGTTTTCTATGTGGCCACTACACGCAAGCGTGAGCTTCCCATGAATCGAAATCCTAAACCCCGGGCCACTCGAACACTCATGGGCCCAACACATCCAAAGGGGTCTCTTCCTTCAGGGAGGCTCCACCGATGTGGCGGTACCGGGTGGTGCCTGGTTGGCCTCCCTGGGTGCTGGTGGAAATGCCCAGGCCCACAGCGCAAGTTGCAGTGGAACAGCATTTTGATTAGAGTTCATACTCCAGCCATAGCAGGTCGGTTTAGGAGTGCATTCTCAATTTCTCTGGGGATCGTGTGCATGCAGCTGTGCTTGCAACCATCGGCCTGACACAGCCGAGATGCTTCAGATGTACCAAAGAACGATATCATACCATGTGGTACTGGATCTGTCCTGACTTCTAGGATTGCAGCAAGCACGAGACTTCGATTGGTACATACAGGTCTCTAGCGTGTGCAGACTGCGTTGAGGGCTGCCTCAGCCCTTGACGGTGCCACAGCGTGATGTGGCGGGTGTACCTGGCATCAGGGGACTTGCTGGTGGTGCACATCGAGGATCTTCCGCATGCAGTGTGGCCTCCCTCCGTGAGGGTGCTGAGACTCGGCAGGTGACGGCAGGGGCTTGCAGGTTTCCGGGTGGCTCCCAAAGTGCCTAGCAGCTAGCACGAGCAGCTCAGGAAGCAGCATCTGGGAGTGCTTTGTGGGCAGCCGAGATTCAAGCAGAGGCTGCTGCGCGATGGCATCCTCCTGGAAGATTCGGAGCTGCTCGAAACATCCTTGGACTTGCAGTTGGTGGTGCTACCCTTTTCAGAGACCACGCAAGCGCAGTGTCGGGGGCTCATGCAAGCAATTGTCAACAATTACGCTCAGGAGGTCGAATCAATCTTGCAAAGGCCGCAGGATCCGGACTTGATCTCGAAGCCAGGGTCGTCTCCTGAACCTTCTGCGTTGCACTTGGCACTGCAGCTTCGCCGCGTTGACATCGTGGAACTCTTGCTGGAGGCCTGGGCCGACGTGGACAAGCCGGATCTCCGCGGCTCAAGCCCTTTGTTCAAAGCTGTGGACATTCACCACCTGGAGGTGGTCCAAGCTTTGTTGCTGGCAAGGGCTGATGCAGACAAGGCCAACCTGAGGGGAGAGACTCCACTATTCAACGCAGCGACCAACGGGCTCGCCGAAGCCGCCCGGCTTCTCGTGGACGCTGGCGCCGACAGAAACAAAGTGAGCTGCTGTGGGAAGAGCCCTCTGCACATGGCGGTCGTGCGGGGTCACTCGGCTGTGGCTCGGGTGCTGCTGGAGACGCGTGCCGACCTGAATTGCCGGAGCCGGCACGGGTCGACGCCGCTGGGAATGGCGGCAGAACTTGGCGAACTTGAAACGGCACGCCTTCTCTTAGAAAACCATGCGGACACTGCCGCGGCCGACAAGGACGGCTGGACTCCCCTGCTTTTGGCTTGCCGCAAAGGGTATTTGGAGATGGCCGAGCTCCTCCTCCAGGCCGGGGCCAATGGGGAGACGCCCCTGGCCGCACTTTCCTCGAAGGGCCAAGCTGACGGCATGCGGCTTACCGAGGCCTCGGCCGAGGTGGACAAGGCACAGTCAGGGGGAGTCAGAAAACTCACCGCGTAGCCCCGTAGTCGAAGAGTCGAACATTGGACAGTCCCTGTTGCGGTAAGCAGGGTCAGAAGGACTCCAAGCAAGCAAGCAATCAGACATGCAAAGGCAGGCGGCAGACGTGGCAGCAGAATCCGCACACTTGCAGAACAAGTTGCGAAGCAGAAAGCAAGCAGGTAAGTAGGTCTCATGCATCACAGGGAGGGTGGCGATTGCAGTCCGATTGCCCTGACCGAACCAACAAGTTTCCGGGGCGCAAGGTTGACGTCAAAAAGAACCTTGAAGCCTCAATGCCGGAGGCAGACGTCGAGGGACGAACGCCCCTTCTCGTCGCGTGCTTGCATGGCCACATGGCAATAGCGAAGCTGCTGGTTGAAGCAGGTGCTACCTTGCAGAAGGCCCAGAGGGACGTTACGGTTTGTGGGCCAATGTGAACTCCTTGGCCCTGTAAGGCCATTGAGAAATCCTCCGGCAATGTGGTTGCAGGGAATGCGCATCCCGAAATTGTGCACATGCTCTCGCAGGCCGGGCCAGGCCACAGCCGACGTCACTGAAACGTTGAGTCCTAGACCTTTAAACTTCAAATCCTCAATTCTATCTTTAATATCTACCCATTAATTGAGCGAGGACCCAAACACTTTCTTCATGAAGCTGCAAACCTGCAAGGCAGCTGCCGATGGTTGTTTTGCAACCGTGCGCATACTTCTTTCGGCGGGTGCCGACAAGGAGGAGCTGAACACTTTTGGTGCAACGCCCCTTTACATGGCAGCTTGCCGCGGTAACTTTTGGAAATGAGGGGCCTTGGGCCATGGACTGAAGCCTAGTTTTGTATAGAATTTCCCCAGAAACGCTGAAGAGACCTCTTTAGGCAGCTCTCTGCGGCCACGGCTCCGTTGTGCAGCTTCTGCTGGAGCAAAGGGCCAACCCCGACACGTCGACCGAAGACGGCTCGACGCCTCTTCGGATGGCAGCCGCTGGCAATTCTGATTCATGGATGTCGAAGTTGGGCACTTCAGGGATCTCTTCTTTGTCTACGTACCTTTTTCGTCATGCTACTCGATGAGTTGACAAGGGAGCTTGCAACGAAGGAACATGGTGACTTGCTCACAACGCAGCTGCTGCTGCAAGCCGGCGCCGACAAGGATCGGGCGGACGATACCGGCTGCACACCTCTGCTCATGGCCTGCATCCGTGGCAAGCTCGAGGCCTGCGTTCACGATGACGATGACCTACGGCTTGGGGGTCCCATCAGGTTTCCTGGAACTCTCATTGTGGTGAGCTGCCATCAATGCCATCTATCTGTCTGTCTACCTATCTATGTATCTATCTATCTATCTATCTATCCATCTACTATATAGATAGATGGATAGATAGACAGATATACATACACACAGATGTACATGCATGGAAGTAGATATTCGAGTGCTTTCCAGACTTCAGGGCAGTTTGGGCAGCTTCACGTCTTCCTTGAGACGTTGGAGAGGGTTTGCGGTTGGTGAGGCCTCTTCGGGGTCCCTGCTTGAGGTCGTCCGGGCTTTGGTGGATGCTGGCGCCGACGTCAACCAGGCAGCCTCCGGGCAAAGTGAGGAAGAGTACAGGCAGAGTTGTACCGCGGTGACGTTACAGTACATGTCGTCAGGGGATCAAAAAGCTAAAGGGGCGAGCGGATTTTGGAGGGGGGGGGGGCAGCCTGGTGAGTCGGAGGCTAACAGAAACGGGGAGACCCCGCTCGTGGCGACAGAGGCCAGCCTGGAAGGCGGGAGATTGAATTATGCGAGCTTAGTCGCGCTGCATTGGCATTTGGGTTTGGGGAGCTGCAACACTGCATGGAAGGTGCAGAGCCGCTGGACGAGGCTGCCAAAGTGGACGAGGGGCTTAGCTGCGCAGCTTGCAAAGCTCTCCGGGTGTGATTCCCAGACCCTGAGCTCCAGCGACAAGCATGGCAGTAGCAATCATTTGCAATCACAACCTGATCCGTGAATTTAGCCCGAAGCCAATGATCAGATGGTATTCGCATGGCGAGAGGCCGACAGCAGAAGACACGCTTACTTGGAAATTGCCAAGCTCTTGCTGGAGGCTGGTGCCGCGAGAACGAAGGCTGGAAGGATGCAATGTCTGTTAACTGGTTTTCATGTGAGAGTGCGTAAGGCAAGGTATCCATCAGTAGAGTTGCTATCTTGTACATCGTTGTACAGGTGTGGCCTGTCGGTACCTGGCGATTCCATGCCTCAGCTAGATCCTTGCAGATCTGGCTTTGACTTTGATTCCTTGCAGGCCAAGCCCCATGATGAATCGCCGAGCGTCGTCGAGGCAAGTAGTGGCTATCTCGGAAGCGGCCACTTTCCGAAGGAGGCTCAATGCGTTGTTTTTGCTGCTTGATGCTTTGCACTTCTCTCTTTATGAGTACTTTCTGTACTGTTGTTGCTGGAGTTGCTGCTGCTGCTGCCGCTGCTGCCGCCGCTGCCGCCGCTGCAGCTGCCTTCTACCCGTCTCCGTCGTCCTAGTCCTAGTCGATGTTGGTCGCCATCGTCCCTCTTGTGTTCGTCGCCCTCCTCGTCCACAGTCGTTACCGGCTGTTTTTGATAAAGTCTTGTTTTTCGCGGCTGCTCAATTGCAAAGCGGCCCCTGCAGGCCGGTGCCCGGGCAAGCAAGCGCCGAAAGTGATTCGCTGAAGCAAAAAGCCTCAGTGACTTACACGTTCGGAGAGTTGGCGGCTCGGGCCGAGCTGACCTGCGGCGCGCCTGCGTAAAACAAAAAAGGGCGGTAGAGGGTTCACCTGGTCAGGATGAGCGAAGAGAAGAGCCAGCTCCTGCAGAGCAGCCAGTGCCAGCCGCCGAAGTCGCTGGATTCTCAGCTTGGGCCTCGCTGAAGCCAAGCGCCCGCTGTGGATTCGTCTGCCCCAGGACTGGCTGGCCTCGTTGAAGGGAAAGCGGGTGCTGCATGCACACGAGGCGCAGGACTGCCTACTTTTTCCTCAGCTGCTTTTGTAGAGCTTTGGCTACTGATGATCTGATGGGCCCGGTTCGGGCTTCGGTGGGATTTATATGTGCCGCGGTTCGGCTCGGGACGGTTCGGGAGCCTTCTGCACTAGCGCTCCGAGGCGCCGAGGCTCCAGCAGTTGTATTCAGCGGCGTTCAGGTGTGATCACATGATTCCCGTTCAGGGTCTAGCGGCGATGGGCAACACCTGCTGTCTGGGGCGAGAGAAGCCGCCAGCGCCACCAGCGGTGCGAGCAGAGAGCGAGGCGGTGGCAAAGGTTTTTTCTGCTGTGCGGTGGCCGGGCCCATGCGCCCGCACGCCCCTGGCGCCATGCAGGCCGTGGTGCTGCTGCGGCGGCGTGCGCAGCAGCCGCAGAAGCCTCAGCAGATCTCAGCAGACTTTTCTTGTCCTGGGAGAAAGCTAAAGCAGCAGCGTCGAGGCTGGACCCCAAAGAGGACG